TTGCGGCACCGAGATGTGCGGCGCCTGAAAGCGCCGCACGTTGGTTGATTTAAGCGCCGCAAAAAGGTAATTTTGCACCAGTGATTTTTTATTTTTCATGATCTTTCAAATGAGACCAATATTGCCTATGTAATTTTAACATATTAACATTTGTGTGTAAAATATGTAACTTTACGTGTTAAAATATGTAACTCACGTTCAGTCAGGCCAAATGCAACTCGTGTGTATAAATATGTATCTCTACGTGTAACAATATGTAACTTTACGTAAAAAAATATGTAACTCGCGTTCAGACAGGTCAAATGCAACTCGTGTGTATAAATATGTAACTCGCGTGTATAAATATGTAACTTTACGTGTAAAAATATGTAACTTTACGTGTAAATACATGTAAGTCGCGTTCTGGCATGTCAAATGCAACTCGTGTTTATATATATGTAACTCGCTTTTAAAAAGATGTAACTTGCTTATAAAAAGATGTAACTTGCTTATAAAAAGATGTGACTTGCTTATAAAAAGATGTAACTCGTTCATAAAAAGATGTAACTCAATGTATTATCAAATGTAACTGAGGCCACTGATCCACTCCCAAACAGATTCAATCTTCTATTTCACAAACCTATAATCTCCCAAACAGATTCGATTTTCCTTAAAATCCAATACTCATTAATATAATAGTTCGATAATTTCTTAACATTACATAAGCAATATTGATCTCATTTGAAAGATCATGAAAAATAAAAAATGTTGATATAAATTTTATAAAAATCGGATCAAAAATAAGAAAGTTATCATCATTTTTAAACAACAAAAGTAAAAAAAAAACAGGGAACTGCGTCGTTTTGCAACCGGGCACACCATCCTCATGGTGCGCCGGTTGCACGGTATAATTTGCCTCTAATCTCTTAAGTTGATGTGCTCTCACACGAAGGGAAAAAAACCCCAAATTTTGTAAAAATGTTGTAAAAACCCCAAATTTTTTAAAAGTGTTATAACTTTTTCATTTTTGCTCCAATGTTTCTAAAAAATATATAAAAATTCATAATTTTTTGTGATCTTTCATATGAGATCAATATTGAATATATAAAAATATCATTTACTAACGGCCTCAATAATCATGCTTAAAATTATTTATATTTATATACACCAATATTGTATATATAAATTTTTTAAAAAATATGAAGGTTTATCAAATCTTCATATTTTCCAACCACAATATCAATAGATATAAATATGACTTATTAATTTTTTGTTAATATAATTGTGTTTCAAATTATATCAAAGTGACTATAAAAGGATACTCATATCCAATTTAGTTACATTGTTGTATATGCAATATTTGTTTTATGAAAGATCATAAAAAACTATGAATTTTAATATGTACGTTGTGATGTATATATATCGTGCATCTTTACCATTAGAAATAACACAAGGAGGGTAGCTAACTCATGAGATGTGCAATTCAATATGTAGGACAACAAATTACACACATGAATCTCATCATATTAGGAATAACCCCCCCCCCCCCCCCCCCCCCCCCCCCCCCCGTCTCATAAAATTCTTTCCACCCACCATTTTGGGATATCCCAAAAAAATCTCCTCATTTACCCTTCTGGGGAGTTTTGTGTGGCTAAGATTCATTTACCTTTTTCTAACTGAATCACAATCTAACATTTTCACTTTATTCGTACTTTCTTAAACTCTGATCCAAGTCAAATCGAAAAGATTTTTATGGGACAGAGGGGTATTATTATTTCCGACGAACCAAATCACTCTCAATAGTAAAGAGAATGAGAATTCTTTTTTTTTTGAAATACAGAATGAGAATCCTTAAAAATCACATTTCATAGAAAATATAAATATATTTGAATTTAGTTATTATTGCAAAATTTCAATTTTGTACATACAAACGATGAGATAGACTTACGAAAGAGTTTCAGAAGACTCCTAATCTAGCGTCTGGAAGAATATTTGAACAAAAAATGCACATCTCTTACTATATAACGGGCCATGAAAGAAGCACCGTAAAAGATTACCATCGGGAATAAGAAGTCAAATCGAACTGAATTTAGAAAAATGAAAATAAACTTGCGAATAAAGGTTCACATTATTATTAGTGTTTCTCTCATATATAGTTTTTTTAAATATAAGATAAGCCGGCTAATAATTGAATGGAAGAACTTCTCTCTCATACGTAGTACTTTTAGATACAAGGTAAGTTAGCTAACAATTGAGCGGGGTAACTTTCTTCTGACGAGCTTTACATTGATCTTTGAAGTGTTAGTGTAGCTAAAATTCATTTACCTTTTTCTTAGTCAACCACATCCTCACTTTTCCACTTTCTTCTCACTTTTTTATGGCCCGTTTGATTATATCAAAATCGACTGAATCGGTTGATTATGCTGAAATTTATGAAGTTCTAGTAGAAGTAGTTGGAGTGGCTGATTTTGCTAATTTATGAAAATGAAGAAAACCTTATATAAAAATAGCTACAATGGTCTTCTACAGTAACTTAAGCCATTACAGTCAGAAAACTTACGTTTTCTTACTATTACACAATTCAATGCGTGAAATCAAAAAATACGTGTTTGATGAAAAAATTGGCCGATAAGCCTGATAAGCCAAAAAAAAGATTACCAAACGGGCTCTAAACTCTGATCCAAGTCAAACCGGGAATAATTTTATGGGACGAGAGAGTATTACTATTATTATTATTATTGGTAAATCAAATCACCTTTAAAAGTAAAATGAATGAGAATATTAAAAAAATCACAATTCATTAAAAATATAAATATACTTGAATTTGAATTCTGTCATTATTGTGGACTTTCAAATTTGTACATACAAGTTTGATTATATCAAAATCGACTAAATCAGCTCATTATGCTGAAATTTATGAAGTTCTGATAGAAGTGACTGGAGTGGCTGATTTATGAAAATGAAGAAAACCTTATATAAAAATAGCTACAAACTATGAAGAAAATGATTTATCAAACTACAATATATGAAGGCAAACACACTCTCTGAGTAGACATAGAATAGACTGCCCAATAATGAGCAAGACTAATCGCTGACCATACGAGAGATTCAAAGCTATTATCGACCAAATTAGCCTGCTTGCTTCCTCCCAAACTAAAAACTAAAGCCACAAAACAGAATTTTCTCTCTCATATGTAGTGCTTTTAGGTATTTGAAGATAAGTTTGCTAACATTTAGCGACTATAATAATAAAAAAACTAGCCCTTATATAATACAAAAAAGCTTATATGCTCATTTTTCATTTGAAATTATGTAGTACTTTTAGTTACAAGATAAGCCGACTAAGAATTGATCGGGAGAATTTTATCTCCAATATATAGTGGCTTTAGGTAAAAGAAGATAAGCTTCCTAATAAATGAGCGGAAGAATTTTCTCTCTAATATATAGTGTTTCTAGGTATATATGGTATGAGAAGATAACCTTGCTAACAATTGAGCAGAAGAGAAAATTTTCTCCCATATGTAGTGCTTTTAGGTATTGGGCGGGAAAACTTTCTCATATGTAGTTCTTTTAAGGATAAGATAAGCCGGCTAACAATTAAGCAGAAGAATTTTGTCTCTCATATGTAGTGATTTATGTATAAGAAAATAAGCTTGCTAATAATTGAGCGGGAGAATTTTCTCTCTCACATGTAGTGCTTCAATGTATCAGAAGATAAGCTTGCTAATAATTGAGCGGAAAAATTTTCTCTCTCATATGTAATGCTTTTAGTTATCATTAGAAGATAATTTTGCTAATAATTGTGCGGGAAAACTCTCTCTCTCACTCACTCTAATATGTAGTCCTGTTAAGTATAAGTGATCGGGCTAAACTTGCAAGAGTACAAGTGCCGATATAGTAATAAATTCCGGTAAAATACCGGGTCGAATCCACAAGGAAATGTTGTTTAATTCAAGTCCGAGAGTAGATAACTTTAATTGAAGAATTGAATAAAGTGCAGGGATTTTGATTTGTGTTTTATATTTTTGGTTTTTTTCACTTTTTGTTCAACAAGATAATCGTTAACTAACTTTGAGTTCAAGATAAATGATAACAACAACTAAGGCTTCGGGAATCACTTAAATGCTTTAATAGGGTTTAATATTAGTTCTTTACCAATAATTATGAATACGATGTCGCTAATATATTCTCAACTCCGGTTAAGGCAGCGAGAGCGTGGTTTTCGTTACGTGTAAGTCCCGTTACGACTTACATTCATCTACCGAAAACCCCGTTGAATATCAAGACATCACACCCGTATCATATAAGACCGGATATATTTCTATTCTCGGTACTATATATGTTTATCCTTTAATGTTCATAGTTTAGACTTCAACGCTAATTGCAAGTATAAACTAAATTTAACATACTTCTATGTTGTACACCATAGTCATAAACAATCAATATATAAAGGATAAATCACAATTTATTGGTTTAGAACTTTTATCAAACACCTAGTGGGCATAGAAGTTCATCCCTAGCCTTAGCTAGGGTTGGACTCGGGCCGGGTGGCCCGACCCGGAACCGGCCCGAGACCGGTACTGTTCCGGCCCGGCCCGAATCGGTGGCCCGGTCAGTGACCGGTCCGGGTAGGCTCGACCCGGTGGGTTTCCGGTCCGGGCTCGGGTCACCCATAACAAGGCCCGGCCCGGCCGGGCCCGGGCCCGGGCCCGGTTCGGGCCAAATTTATTTATTTTTGGTTTTTTTCATTTGTTTGGGCTCCACCGGGTTGGGCTTGATGTTTAGGAGGGGTTTGGGGGTTGGGGGGTGAGGGGGGGGGGGGTCAGGGATGGGTAGCTAAGCAAAATAAAAATAAAAAAAATTAACCAAACCCGAGATCCGGCCCGGCCCGGACCCGGACCGGACCCGGTGGCTACCCGGGCCGGTCCCGGGTCCAGTTATGTAGAACCGCCGGCCCGACCGGGCCTAGGCCCGCCTTGGGCCCGACCCGGCCCGAGTCCAACCCTAGCCTTAGCTAAGAATTTAGCCTCTAATGCTCATATTAATCACAATACAATAATAAATGTAATGGAACATGAAATTACAAAGGAAATAATACGTAAACACCAATGATTTCAGAGGATGAACTTCCCTCCTCAAGAACTTGAAGAAAATACCAAGAACAAAAATATGAAAGCTAAGAATTAATCTATAGAATGGAATGTGTTTGTATGATGAATTGAGGGCTTTATATAGGCTAAAGAATGGCATCTTTTAGTCTATTCAAGCCCAACAAATAGGTATGGAGGAGATATCTGATCAAATATGAAGAAGATGAAGTTTCCCATCAAGAAATCTTTTGCACGTAGCTGTGTTTGTAGCAGAAATCGGAACAATCGGCGCCGGTTATGGGGTGTCCGGCGCCGGTCGTGTGAAAAAATGCACCGATCGCTCTGCGCCGGTTGGAAACAGGCCGCTTTTGGAAAAAAATCCCAACGACCGGCGCCAGATGTGTGATGACCGGCGCCGGTTCTTGCGCCCAAATTTGTACTTAGCTTCTTTTTTTCTTTTGATGCCCGAAATTTATTCAGAAGTGCCGGTTTTCGACCCCTTTTGGCTTTTGATCCTATTTTTGCTGTTTCAAGCCGCATTTCATGTTTCCGCTCATTCAGGAATAAATACCTGTTTTTGCTTTAATTTTTGTACAGATAATTATAACCACTTATGTAAAACATAAGTAATTATTGTGCTTATCGATAGAGAGCTTCGATCTCCGGATGCACAGCCTTTTCAATCACAATTTTCCACTTCTTCCTTTGATCATACCAAGCTTCATTCTCCGGGGAGGTGAAACGTGGTACGGATGAAGAGGAAGAAGTAGCATCATTTCGTCGTTTAGGAGCCATTTGACCTGCACAATTAGTTCAACATATACACATAACATCATTTGTTCATCAATTCAAGGTAAATTTTCAAAAATTTCTTCAATTTCCCCAAATTTCATGTTCATTCAAGAATTCTTGCAACAATCATGTTTAGAGGATTACATATCAACAACAAGTCATATCAACATATCTCTAAGCATCAATTAAAAGAATTCATCAATGAACAAGAAATTCAAAATTACGGTTCTTGAGAAAATTTGCAAGAATTTCCCCTAATTTTGAACTTTAATCTCACAAGTTTGAACAAGAATCATGTTTATATATACTAAATGAACACAATAGATCATCATTCAACATTTATAAGCATTCAATTTGCCAAGAATTGTAAAAGAGAAAAGATTTCAAAAATTAAGGGAATTTGAGTTTAAAGTCGAAATACCTTGAATTGATGAAGTAAAGTGATGATGAAGCTTTGAGGAATGGGTCTTGGTGTTAATTCAATGCTCCTATGGGTGATTTACAGCTATGGGTGGCGGATTTGGGTGGTTTGGGGTGATGGCCGGTCGTTTAGCTCGTAAAATTTGGGGGTAGGGTTCAAAAACTGCTGTGTTTTTGAGAGAAATCAAAAGTGGTATCCTTGGCAAGTAAATCGCAAAGTGGTTTTGCGATTTTTGAGAAATCTTTGATGAATCGCCGGTAAAAACCGGCATGCCCCAAGAAACTTCTAATGGCTTTTACCGAATGAGGAGGTGACAATTTTTCAATAACCTCCACTTTAGCTTGATCAACTTCAATGCCTTGAGGGGATATTTTATGCCCCAAGACAATGCCTTCAGTCACCATAAAGTGACATTTCTCCCAATTAAGAGCAAGATGTGTTTCTTCACATCGGATGATCACTTTTTCAAGATTATTTAGGCATATATCAAATGAGTTTCCAAAGACTGAAAAATCATCCATAAATACCTCCATAAAATCTCCCACCATATCCGAAAAAATAGCCATGACGCACCTTTGAAAGGTCCCCGGTGCATTGCAAAGTCCAAACGGCATCCTCCGGTAAGCGAATGTCCCAAAAGGACAACTAAAGGTGGTTTTCTCTTGATCTTCGGGTGAAATAGCTATTTGAAAATAGCCCGAGAACCCATCCAAGAAGCAATAGAATTCATGACCGGCTGCTCTCTCTAGCATTTCATCCATGAATGGTAGGGGAAATGATCTTTTCTTGTGCCGACATTCAGTTTTCGGTAGTCAATGCACATCCTCCACCCGGTAACCATTCTAGTAGGAATTAATTCATTCTTACTATTGGATATGACGGTGATTCCTCCTTTCTTCGGGACTACTTGCACGGGACTCACATAGTTACTATCGGATATGGGATAGATGATACCATAGTCAAAGAGTTTGAGAACTTCCTCCTAGACCACATCCTTCATATTTGGATTGAGCCTCCTTTGATGTTCTACCGTTGGTTTGTGATTTTCCTCCATGAGGATCCGATGCATGCATCGAGATGGGCTTATACCCTTGATATCCGCCAAAGACCAAGCTATTGATGATGTGTGAGCTCTCAATACCCGGAGTAATTTCTCTTCTTGTAAAGGAGAAAGAATAGAGGAAATTACCACCGGATACGTAGAGTCATTGCCAAGGAATGCATATTTGAGATGTACCGGTAGAGGTTTGAGAGTGGGCTTTGGAGGAGTTTGACTTGATGGTTGGAGGATGGACTTCCTTTGCCCAAGATCTTCAAATCTTTTCCGCTAAGGTCTATGAATGGTTTCACCTTGCAAGAACATCATTTGTTGGAAAATTTCAGAATTGTTCTCTTCTTCGGTGTGTCCTAGTGTAAGACATGCTTCAAGAGGATCTTTGTGAAGCTCTCTTTCAAACATCTCCTGAGTTATAGTATCAATGATGTCAATACTAAAACACGAGGATATATCATGATGTTTCTTTAATGAATCCCAAACATGGAATTCTTGTTCATCTTCTCCCACCCGGAATTTAACAAATCCGTTCTTCACATCAATGAGGGAGGCAACGGTAGCTAAGAATGATCTTCCAAGAATAATTGGAATTTCCATTTCTTCCATTTCCAAAATGAGAAAATCCACCGGAAAATAGAATTTTCCCACTTTGACTAGAACATCCTCCATAACACCCAATAGATAATGGATTGTTCTATCCGCCAACTGAAGAGCAACCGTTGTAGACTGAGGTTCCCCCACACCAAGCTTTTAAAACAGAGAATGAGGCATAAGATTTATACTAGCTCCGAGATCACAAAGAGATTTTACCTCTCCAATTTTGCCAATAGAACATGGAACGGTGAAGCTTCCGGGATCCTTCAATTTTGGAGGGAGCTTATTTTGAAGGATTGCACTACACTCCTCCGTTAGTGTCACAGTTGCAAATTCCGCTAGTTTCTTCTTGTTTGAGAGAATCCCCTTTAGAAATTTGGCATAAGAAGGAATTTCCGCAATAGCCTCCGCGAATGGTATGTTGATGCTTAGCTTGGTAAATAAATCAAGAAACTTCTTGTATTGTTTACAATCATCCTTCTTCCTCAATCTTTGTGGATATGGGATAGGAGGAACATAATTTGCCATTGTTGGAGATGGTGATATATGTTCTTCCAAATCTTCCTCCTCTTGTGATATTGGTGCATTCTCCGGCGATTTAGGATCCTCCGTTTATTTGCCACTTCTTGTTGTTATGGCCATGACATTTTCTTTTGGGTTGACTTCCGTTGTTGTGGGGAACCGCCCTTGCTCTCTAGTGCTTTTTCCTTGGGCAATTTGCCCAATTTGTACCTCCAAGTTGTGAATGGATGACTTAGTGTATTGTTCTATGTTCTCCATGCGTTGGTGAAGTTTCCGGTTTTGATCTTCAAACCGGAGGTCAAGCTTTGTGAATTGTGAATGGAGATTCCCAATGGATGCCTCCACTCTACTATGATTCTCTTCATTTTGGGCCTTTACACTAGCCACAACATTTTGAGTGAGGGTTTTCATCATTTCCTCCATGGTTTGCCCTTGTGAAAATCCGGACGGGGGGTTAGACGGGCCTCCTTGTGGTTTCCAAGAATTACCTTGGTTAAACCTTTGTTGATTGTTGGAATAAGTGTTGCCTCCTTGATTCCCCCTATTCCCATATGAATTCATATAATTCACATCTTCAATAGTTTGAGGTGAATTACCTTCTGGTTGTGATATACTCTCCACATTGGTCATTTGATTAGCCCCTCCGATCACGATTTGTAGAGTCGTGTGAATTGAAGCTTGAAGATCTTTGTGCATGGCTTGTTGAAAATCAGCAAACCGTTTGTCCAATTCATGAGCTATAGACACTTCACTCACACCGGCCACTTTGATATCTCCTCCTTGTAATTGAGGGTTTGAAACAATGGATTCGAGGATCCTTAATGCCTCCGTTTCAGTTTTGTTGCCAATATACCCCTCCGCACGGTTATCTACAATGACTTGGCATGAAAAGTTCAAACCATTGTAGAATGTGTCAATTTGAAGATCAAGGGGAATGCGGTGGTGTGGGCATTCCTTCAACAAGGCTTTGAAACGCCTCCATGCATCTTAATATAGTTCTCCAACTTGTTGTTTGAAGTTGAAGATTCGTTGCCTTAGCTCTTGAGTCATTGTGGGTGTGTAATACTTAGAAATGAAAGCATTATAGATACCTTCCCACGTTGTAAAACTCGCTGGTGTTTGCTCCAAGAACCATCCTCTTGCCGCCCCTTTCAAAGTGTAGGGAAAGCTTTTGAGTTTGAGATCATCCTCGGAGAGACCATGCCTAGGAATTCCTTGGATGACTCCATAGAACTCGGTGATGAAGTTAAGTGGATTCTCCCCCGGATGATCATGAAATTGAGGCATAGCATTGAAGTAGCTATTCTTCATTTCATAGTCCCTTGCCGCCTCGCTTAGGACAATACATGAGGGAGTGGCGGCAACCACGGGCCTCTTCCTTTCGTTGAGTGTTGGCATCATCTTTGCTTCTTTTCTTTCCCTCCGGTTGTGTTTGAAAGTTCTTTCTATTTCAAGATCAACAGGTTCAAGATGTTTAGAACTTTGACTTCTCAAATGCATTCAAACACAAAGCACAGGCTACGCACATAAAAAAATACCACAAGAACAAGTGAAAAGCAATGTGAAATGAAAAATTCAGGATTTTTGATTGATTGATATATATATTTTTTCTTTTCTTTGATTGATTGTTTGGACTTTATTAAACAAGACCGTTTCCCCGGCAACGGCGCCAAAAACTTGATCGGGCTAAACTTGCAAGTGTACAAGTGCCGATATAGTAATAAATTCCGGTAAAATACCGGGTCGAATCCACAAGGAAACGTTGTTTAATTCAAGTCTGAGAGTAGATAACTTTAAATGAGGAATTGAATAAAGTGCAAGGATTTTGATTTGTGTTTTATATTTTTGGTTTTTTTCACTTTTTGTTCAACAAGATAATCGTTAACTAACTTTGAGTTCAAAATAAATGATAACAACAACTAAGGCTTCGGGAATCACTTAAATGCTTTAATAGGGTTGAATATTAGTTCTTTACCAATAATTATGAATACGATGTCGCTAATATATTCTCAACTCCGGTTAAGGCAGCGAGAGCGTGGTTTTCGTTACGTGTAAGTCCTGTTACGGCTTACATTCATCTACCGAAAACCCCGTTGAATATCAAGACATCACACCCGTATCATATAAGACCGGATATAATTCTATTATCGGTACTATATATGTTTATCCTTTAATGTTCATAGTTTAGACTTCAACGTTAATTGCAAGTATAAACTAAATTTAACATACTTCTATGTTGTACACCATAGTCATAAACAATCAATATATAAAGGATAAATCACAATTTATTGGTTTAGAACTTTTATCAAACACGTAGTGGGCATAGAAGTTCATCCCTAGCCTTAGCTAAGAATTTAGCCTCTAATGCTCATATTAATCACAATACAATAATAAATGTAATGGAACATGAAATTACAAAGGAAATAATACCTAAACACCAATGATTTCGGAGGATGAACTTCCCTCCTCAAGAACATGAAGAAAATACCAAGAACAAAAATATGAAAGCTAAGAATTAATCTATGGAATGGAATGTGTTTGTATGATGAATTGAGGGCTTTATATAGGCTAAAGAATGGCATCTTTTAGTCTATTCAAGCCCAACAAATAGGTATGGAGGAGATATCTGATCAAATATGAAGAAGATGAAGTTTCCCATCAAGAAATCTTTTGCACGTAGCTGTGTTTGTAGCAGAAATCGGAACAACCGGCGCCGGTTATGGGGTGTCCGGCGCCGGTCGTGTGAAAAAATGCACTGATCGCTCTGCGCCGGTTGGAAACAGGCCGCTTTTGGAAAAAATCCTAACGACCGGCGCCGGATGTGTGATGACCGGCGCCGATTCTTGCCCCCAAATTTGTACTTAGCTTCTTTTTTTCTTTTGATGCCCGAAATTTATCCAGAAGTGTCGGTTTTCGACCCCTTTTGGCTTTTGACCCTATTTTTGCTGTTCTAAACCGCATTTCATGTTTCCGCTCATTCGGGAATATTTACCTGTTTTTGCTTTAATTTTTGTACAGATAATTATAATCACTTATGTAAAACATAAGTTATTATTGTGCTTATCAATAAGATTAGAAGATAAATTTGCTAATAATTGAGCGGGAAAAATCTCTCTCTCTCATATGTAGTGCTTTTAAGTATAAGATAAGATAAGCTGACTAACAATTGAACGTGAGAACTTTATCTCTCATATGTAGTGGTTCTGAGAAACAGAAAATAAGCTTCCTAATGATTGAGCGGGAGAATTTCCTCTCTCACATGTAGTGCTTCTACATATTACAATATAAGTTTGCTAACAATTGAGCGAGGAAGTTGAACAAGATAATTTTGTCTCTCATATGTAGTGATTTTAGATATATGAAGATAAGAAGATAAACTTGCTAACAATTGAGCGGACAAACTTTCTTTCTCATATGTAGTTCTTTTAAATATAACACTCCAACTAACAATTAAGCAATAAAATTTTCTCTCTCATATGTACTGCTTTTAGGTATAAGTAGATATGTAAGCTAACAATTGAGCGGGAGAGTTCTCTCTCTCATATGTGGTGCTTTTAGTTATAAGAAGATAATCTTGCTAATTATTAAGCGAGAAATATTTATCTATTAATTTGTAATTAGATCATGAGTACAAATATATGCACCAACTGCTCTTACCTGTGCGTATGCACGGGTACTATACTAGTTTTTTAATAAAAGAATATCAGCATACCACTAATCCTAAGTTCGTTTCCTTAGATCGGTAATCTAATTAAGTATACCTAATTAGGTCTGTATCTACTAGTGTGATTGGAAGAGATAATTAAGAGATTGTGAAACCATATAATCTCTTATCATGTACATCACTTAATTATAACATCATCAGACTGACCTCTGCCTTTCACTAATTTATTAACAAAACGACACAGCTTACTTTTCATTAAAATCCAGGGCTTGTACTAATGTTTTTTATAGTATCAGGTAAGTTTTGTTTATTTTCTCTAATGAGAAAAAATATGACATTTTCAATGGTATATTACTAAATTGAAGTTAGTTTCCAAAAATCTGACAATTTTTGTGAAATAACAAAAAATGTGACTAAGAAGGTTACACATTTGAAAAAACATAATGTCACTCTTTTTATGTTACAACCAGATTTTTATGTCACTGTTATATTTCACTATCAGATTTTTATGTCCCACTTTTATTTTCCGACAACATTTTCCAACGAAACAGTACACCACCACTACGCCATCACAGGTCTAATTTTTCATGTCACTGCGCTTTTTTTTGTCATTGTGGTTTGTCACTACCAAATTTTAATGTCACTTACGGATGTCACAACTGTCAGGAAATATGTTATAGTAACCTTTTCCGCACCGAAATTGCCGCCACCAACACCGCGGCTGATAAACCAACACCCCGACCCCCCACACCTGCATTGAGCCCCGCGTACCTGGCAACCCCACAGATGACCACACTAGCCCTGTCCCCAGCCCATCAGCCCCCTCCCCCTCCCACCAGCCCCCAGGCCCCAACCCCTACAACCGTTGCATTGAATTACCACGCCACCACCTTCCGTCACCGCAATTCTTCTTGTAACTCACCCCAGGGCAACCCTAGCTGCTGACACCATATATGAACTCTAGTTGAACAATATTACGCCGATATCGGAACTAGAACCCTAACCTATCGAATCTCTGTCACAGTCGAAGCAATCGACATAGAAAAGAGAGGAAGAAGGGTTAGGTCGGCAGTGGTTGTCATCTCCAAGGCTCGAGACGCCATCGCCGAACCATAGTCGCCCCATTGGCAACCCCTAGTCGCCGCCATCGTCATTTTCGTATTCAATTGTTGCCACCATCTAGCTCCGATGGAGAGGTCGTGTGCAGAGAAGGGGCAGAGAGATCGACGGAGAGAAGCATAAGAGAGATGCGGAGGATGGTCATCTGTTGGTTTTCAGTCGCTAGGTAGACACTGATCGAAGGAGAGAAGAGAAGTCTTGTCTACGAACGGGAAACAGGATAATTAGAGTTGGATCACTTTTTTATCTAAGTATAAAATGGTCGTATTTTTGTCCATTAATAAAGCTACATAACTAATGTTTTTGCCATTTTTCAGAAAAAATTTACGAAATATATAAATAATTTTATAATTTCAAATTATCTTATAAACTCCTATAGGAAATATAGGAACTTTTGATTTAAATAGCTTATTTTTAGGAGGCCGGTCTCGTACCCTCCTAAAAAAATACTGAAAAGTGATAAAGAATTAAAAAAAAATCAAAAAGTAAACATACAAGAAAAAAATATTTAAGATCAAATACGTTAAATATGCCCTCGAACTAACTTAAAAGTGCAAATCACCCCTTATATAGGAGGCTCTATCCAGTCACATTTGGGACGGTTTTCGGTGGATTTTTTGATGAATTTTTTTTAGCATCTTCTTCATTAAGTCTAGTTTACGCATACCAAATTTCATATACAAGTTCAATTGGAAAGGCAGTCAAATGAATTTGTGAAGATGACTGTGCAGTTAAACAGCGCACATGGGCGGATCTATGTAGGGCTTAGGGTGGGCTCTAGCCCAGCCCAACCCAATTTTTTTTTTGTTAGTATAGAAAGAGATTTAATTTTCAGCCCACCCAAAAATTAAAACTCAACCCACCCCAAATATACAAGGAAGTGTTCTAAGAAGCTCCAAAAGTAAAAGGCTGCCCAAACTTTGTTTAAAGCCCATAGTCATGGGAACAAATGATCCTGAGAATAAATGATCCCGATGCGTAATAATAGAGCTTGGTGTGATTGCACCAAGAAGTGATTTATATATAGGACACTCAGGAGGGTGAACCATCCTTGTAGTCGGTGTGGGATAAATTGAGGAGCAAAACTTTACATACAGAGTATTAAACAATCGTATGTAGTTGGTGTTTGGAGCCAACAGCAAATTATGCAATCCCATCTCATCCACTCACCCACACCATCAATAAAAGCACTTTATATTACAAGTTTACAATATTATTTTACAACATAAATTTTATGATTAATATTATATTATTATTATAATACTGTTATTATTATATGAATATTACTATTATCTGACCCAAGTCACCATGAGTAACTTTTATAAGCATTAAAATTTAAACATAATTATAATCATTAAAATAACTAAGTTACTCTTTATCAACTATCCTTATTTGGTCATATACTATTTCTATTATTATTATTATTATTATTATTATTAAAATTATTATTATTATTATTATTAAAATTATAATAGTTTTATTAGTGCATTAGTTTTATTTAATAGTTATGTAATTCTATTTGATTATTAATTTAATTTATGCTCAAACTCGGCTTGAATAAAATAGATATATGAACTCTATTTTTTTAGTGTTCAAATATATTTAAAAAATTGCAATGAAAATGTTTAAATTTTAAGATAAATAAAATTTATTTCTAGAATTTACGAGTTATTGATAGACTCGAGTCCGGATCAAACCGAATATCACTATGCTCGAACTCGGCTTGAACAACTATTCGAACTCAAAATCTAGCTCATGTTCGAGTTAAAAAAAGCTTCTTAAGCTCAGATCACTAAATTAAATTCGAAATCACGCTCGAATTCGCGTAGTTCGAAAAAAACTCAATTCGATTACGGTCCTAAGCAGCCTAAGCTAAACTTTTTGTTTGCAATAACAATTTTTTTTCTGCTAAGCCCACCCCACTCTTCATTCCTGGATCCGCCCCTGACAGCGCAGTACATTTCAGAAAATCATTTGACTGTCTTCTCGGTTGAACTTTTATCTAAAATTTGGTATGGGTAACTGTCGTTCGGCCATTTCATTATAATTGTACTAACTGCGTTAATGCAAACGGAGCTAGTTGAGTGAATTAATCAGTTTTTATATTTCTTTTAAGCACTCGTTACTATATCAATTATACCCTAGAACTTAAGGTTGGTTTTGGGCCTTCGGATCCATTCGGAACTTAGATTCAACGAGCCTATTTACAGTTTACGAACTCTACACGTCCATGTTTCCGGCGTGCACATATTTCACGTACAAAAGACCGTGAAATAGTCATATTACAAAAGTATATAAAGACTAAGGGTCTCTTTGGTGACTATATTCTATAACTTATCAGGCTTATCAATCAAGCTTTTAATCAAACACATAATTTTTGATTTAGCGCGTTGAATTGTGTAATAATAAGAAAAAGTAAAGTTGAAGTTATTTTTCTGGCTGTATTGGCTGGAATTACTGTTTTTTTAACTCCAGGGGACGTTTGGGGGGAGGGGGCTGAGGGAGCCTGGAGTAGTCTAGGCTGAAACTCACTCCATTGAGTTTCGAACCCAAACCTCCCGTAAGGGAGTCTGAGACTCTGAGTCATCGACTAGCTAGGCTGGACCGCTTCCTCCAAGCCGGAGTTACTGTAAATGATCATTTTAGCTATTTTCATATTTTTTTTTCTTTATTTTATTAACAAATATATTTTAAATATAATTTTTCATAAATCATCAGAATCAACCAATACAACCACTTCATCCTGAACTTCATAAATTTCGGCATGATCAACCGATTGACGATTTTAGTGTTACAATTTTAGTGTTACGGAAGAGACTAAGTTTACCTATTCCCTTATCATTTAACCAGCAATCCCTCCAAAGACTTGTATCGGTGACTTTTCAATCACACAAAGTTCGTAACCATTGTGCAATAAAATAATTTGAATAAAATTGAGAGCACTTGTAATACTTCGTATTACACACTATATGATTTGTTGTTCTCACTGGCCAATCTTGCACTTACTAGACTCTCTTTTCTTGAATAAGAGAAATAGCGTACTCCCTTCATTTCTGAAACAAGTTCCATCTTTCCTTTTCGGGCAGATTCAAAATTAAGTTCCACTTTCAAACATTTCTTTATTATCTACATCAAAACAGTGTCAAATAGTGTTCAAACAGTGCCAAACTGTGTTCAAACAGTGCCAAACAGTGCACTCCACAGTAAAGTCAAATTTATTTTCTTTATATGTGTGAAGTCAAATGTGGAACTTGTTTAGGAATCGGAGGGAGTATATAAATACTACGTATATACTATCATCTACAGTATATCTCATTAATTGCAACATTGGAATATATATATTATTCATGTACTTTACTTTGACTACATTTTATTTATTAATGTATGTGAATTATTTTTTTTTTTTGAAAAACGTTGTCAAATTTGTCTCATTACTAAGTTTTATAATATTTATTAATGTATGTGAATTAAATATAATAAAAGGCAAAGTTATACGTGGAAAGAGACATGAATCGTGTCTTTCATACTTCATGTTAGATGTGGAAAGTGGAAACAAAGTACGGAGCAGTAAATGTAACAAAATATACCTCAGACATTTTAAAGTTTAAACACACGACCGGCCCCAAACAGGATATTACACTAGAGTGGGCCCGGATAAATATTACTCGGGATGGCTGAGTTGACCCAGTATTCTCCTGACCACTCTAACTTGCCACCGCCGCCGCGAAAATATTACCCCGCCGTCCTTCAACCGCAGAAGAAACAAAAATACGGAGTACTTCAAAAGAACGAAGACTTACGTTGACACACGCGCCTGAGCTAATCAACAACGCGCCTGAAGCATCGACCTAGATTCGCCGAAACCGGTCTGGAATCCGACCAGGCCGCACCACCGCCGGAGCTCCCCGACGTCGACGAACCGGAGGATTTCCTCAAAGACAGCCTCGTCGCAAGGAATAGAGAGCGGGCCTTGGTGGGCGAAGCCGTACTCCGCCTCGGCCTGGGCCAATACCTTCTGGAAGACGGGATGGTTCAAGTACGAGGCGCGGACCACGAACCTTCTGCTGCTCCATCCCACGCGGATCGCCACGTGTCCCTCCGGCACATCCGCCGGAACGCCGGCTGCGCGACCAGATGAGGAATCCGTCGCCCTTCTCCGCCACCGCAGCAGCATATGTCGGAGTTTGACGATTTGACGGATCTGGTTGCATTTTCCGGCTCCTTTTGACATTGAACGACTCTGGAGAAGTAGGTAGCCCTGTCTCTCTGTTTATGCCAGGTACATCTGAGCAGCGTCTACAATGCGACGTAAATACGAGTACCATTTAAATATAAATAATACTCCATACTCCCTTCGTTCTATTTAAATATCCTTACTAGACATTCACTTTTACGTTTGTTCTTCTATTAATTGATGAGCTCCTCAAATATCGTGTCAAAAGCAAACGTCAAGTTCTATACGGGATGAGGGAGAACTACGTAATACCGAGTATAACTTAGTTGGCTTGAACCAGTCATCAAAATTTAATTTACATTTTTAGAATAATTGTCAATCTAGTTTTGAAGGGTTTTTAGATGGTAAAATATACGGAGTATCGTATAGTCGACTGTACCGTGCACCCGGTAAAGTCGACCTTTTATTTCTTCCTAGACTTTTTGCGCTTCTTCTGATCTGGCTTCACTTCTAAGATATAGATTTGCTACCTTACATCCCTATTCGCCGGCTGCTCGTTCGATCGTTCGCTTCGCTATTTGTTGGTTGCTCGTCGCTCACGAACGACAGACTAGCCTCTCGCCATCCTCCAACAAGAACGCGACACTCAAACTCTAGCTTGTGCGCAGAGACCGCAACTCTGGCAGATGTGTAGGGTTGCACTCTTTCTTTTTTTGAACTCTTTAACTTTTTTCCTTTTTAGGTTTAATGAGTTTGGTAACTTGTTTGGGTGCAACTTCGGAGAAACCTAAGTATACATAGTTGTACAGATGTGGGCATACACAAGAGAAATTTTGAGCATAGTACACATTTTAAATGAGTTTTTTGATTTTTTTGAATGCTCATTTCGTAATTTATGTATACTCATTTGATATTAGTGTAATACTCGTTTTAAAATGTCATATTCATACATATTTCAAAAGTATAATTTTATAAGAGGAATCTAATTCGTTGCTAAGGAATCCTTGTTGCTATTATTCTCAAATGAGCTTTATATTAAACTCAAATGAGTATACGCCTAAAATATGAACATACCCAAAGGAATATTGAGCACATTAGAAATGAGTTTCATGTTAAACTCAAACGAATACAACGCTCAAAATGAATGAGCACACACAAATGAGATTTTAAATTTTTTTATACTCATTTTGTAAGTTATGCATGCTCATTTGGTACTGCTTCATTCTCATTGTAAAAGGTTGCACATTTCAAACATATCATACTACATTAGATTCACATATTGAAATTAATTGAAATTGATTATACACATAATTTAAGACTTTTTTTTTTGAAAAGGATTAAAGACTTTTTAATAAATGAAAAAATAATAAACAGAAAGTGATATATATGGAATGAAGCAGAGATCACTGATGCTGACCGTTAGACTTCTAATACTGAAAAGAATAGGCTCGATGCTCATCAAAATTGCATCAATGCTCATTTAAGAGAATCCATGATTTTCACCAAAATTACAAGTTTGCCACCGACTGTACGGCTGACACCGTACAACCGGTTGTAAGATATGCGCTTCTGTTTTTAGATGGTGTGTCATCTTTTTAGAACCTAATTGGTACCTTTACTAATTGGTATCTTTTTTGGATGAATTATCAAAATAGGACTAAAAGTTAGGCACTATTCTCAATAGGAGTAATATGATCTAATTTTGGAATAAAAACATAACACGTCATATTTTGGGTTTTTGTCATAGTTTTATTCCTATTTAGAGTAATTATCGTTCTTTTTTGGGCGATGTACGTATATCGATAAAAAGGTCAAATAATACTTCGTAGATCCTAACGCTATGGGCTTTTTGACACCCTACATTGAAAAACAATATAGAAAACAAATACTCCTTCCGTTCTCTAATATTTGGCTCTCTTTCCATTTTGGGATGTTCTCTATTAGTTGTCTCTCTTTTCACTTTTATTAATTTTTTTCAATAAATATACTCATTTACCCTCATTCTCTTTCCTACTTTTTCATTCTTTTTCCTACTTTTATCTTCACACACAACTCACTACACCTTTTATCCTACCTCTATTAATTTCTTCTTAAATCTTGTGCCAAAGGCTATACTCTCATCTATTAGAGAACGGAGGGAGTATCAAATACCGCACCATTATTATATCCTAAATAGGATCAAATTTATACTTTGAAATATTACAGAAGTGTTTTAAATATTATATGAACAATACCAAGTTTTTAATTTAATTTTATATATAATTATATGTTTATTATATATATCGACCGATTTTTTGACATTGATTGAGTTGTTGACCTATCAAGTCTGTGTTGACGCGTGATCCAGTAGTGTGGATGGGTCACTTCGCGATAAGGTTTTTACAAAATGCGTAACTTTTATAGAGTATAAATTAGCAAATAAGCTTGTCAAAAAATCTAATATTAATTATTAAATGGATATTTAGTCGTCTTCACTCATTTAGGCGTGATTTCTGCACTTGTTATTGTCCAATGATCCAATCTACTGGCTCGATGTCATTGGTGGGAAGAATGCGATTGTATAACAACAATAGGAACAATAAATATTCTCATTTTTATTCATATTTGATTTTGTCATTTGATGGAATGAAAATACATTACGTGAAATAAGGACATAGACACAACTAATCGGATGATCATTCAAATCTGATGTCATAATAGGCTCCATATACATAAAGTGAAGCAATAAGATGATTCCTTTCATTAATAGCAATCCTGATCAGAAAAAGAATTATAATCTCATTAGGGGTGGAGCCAGGGGAGGGCCAACCCTCTGATCCAGTCTAAATTTAAAAAATGTTCATATTTTTAGTATAAAAAAAATTGTGTAAATTTTTTTCCAAATATATTATTTATACCGGTCCAGTCCGGCCTAGTACTCCGGCTCCACCCCTGAATCTCATCATATTTCCTTTGAGGCATGATATCCCTATGTATAAGTACATACATTTAAGTATCCTCACATGAAACATAAAATACGAAACTTAATAAAAAGACATAAATATAATAAACTAAGCTTTGTCATTCATAACTCATTAGATTACAAAACCACTTGAAAGTATAAATGTATGAATAATTGAATATACGTCATTCAAAAAATATATTAGATGTTATCTCACGGAAAAATATAACACACGTTTAAAAATTATTCCACAAACCATAAGGACACAAAAAAATAGGCATTACTATTCATGAGAAATCCAGTCACTGGAATCTCAAATTATAAAAATTAAAACTACTACCCAACATAAATAAAAAGAAGAGTTTTTTACCTATATAGGACTATATCTACCTTTGTGTGCACAAATAGGACTCAAAACGTGAGTCATGTTTTGTAGGACTAAAATTGAGGTGATTTCCCTTTTTTAGCCTCAATTAGTTAGTCGCCTATTAACGGCAGTTTTTCGGAAAAAACGGGCTGCATAGTTATCGGAAAGAGTGCGAATTTAATATGGCAGATTTTTCCGGCGCAAGGCACGGCAATCGAGTATCAAACGCAACTACCCAAGTTAGTCTACCCAGTTACGCCATTGCAAAATTTCAATTTCGAAGAGGAGAACTGAAGACAAAAATCTGGAAGAGAAGAAAAAAGGAAGGAGAATAAGTGCGAAGATGGCCGGTAAAGATGGCGCAAATCAGACGCCCGGACGACAGAGAGAGCGGCGTAGAGCAGAACTGGTATGTTTAACATTTGAGCATCATAATTAATTTAGGGTTGATATTTAGGACGAATTCAAAGCCAAATGTTTTCATGGCGTGGGACTGAGAAATGGAAGTTTTAATTTGTAGTAGACATTGCCAACAATTTGGAAAATCATAGAATGAAATATGGCAGAATGCAATTTTTGGTGTAACGGTATAAATGGCAAATATGTGTGAAACTTTTTGTTATTTAAGGAGGAAAATGGCAGAAAGGAGAAATTGGATGAATGGATAAAGTGGCAAAGAAAAAATGGCAGAAACGGAATGGAAATCTTGTTTTGGCAAAAAAATGAAAACATATAGTAAGCTTAATGGCTAAAAGTGTATGTATATATTGTGAAAAATGTAGTTATGACAATGTTGATGTTTTAGTTGTTTCCAATTGTATATCTACCACATATGACCACGATGTTTGACAAACGTTTGGGTGTTTGGTGCTAGTTTTTTGTCAATTAGTACATATGTTCCACCTTAATGGCAAAATGATGAAATTAAAGGACTATTTGATAGTAGTGGTAAACAAGCAAAGGATTTCTGTGGAATGTTTTGTATTATTTTTTTCCAAACATTTGGAAAATAATAGAGAGGAAAATGGAAGAATGGACTGATGTTTGATTAAACATTGATAGTGTATTTAATTGTTTCCAATGGTAATTGTACCACATATGACGCATTGATTGGCTGTATGCACATGATGTTTGTCATAGTACTTCCATAGTTAATTGGAAAAATGTATTGTTGTGTGATAATTTAGGTGATACATAGAAAATTTGGAAGGAATCAACTGCAAAATGTAGAGAGCATGAGGATAAATTGCTACTGCAGTTTGGCGGAGGTGGTGAAGAGGATAAAGAACCAACTAAAAGAGGAGGAACTCATTGAATTCAGGAAGAGTGTATTCGGATGGGTGTTAGATGTGGAAGAAATGCGTACAATTAGTGGTCAGCTTCAACTGAGATTTCTTTGCAACTACGTTAAAAAAGTAAATGGCATGAAAGAGACAGGTGCCATTCGTTTTCATATTGAAAATAGTCTAATTACTTTAAGGAAAGACGATCTTTGCATGGCTCTAGGTCTTAAATTTGGAGGAGTGAAACCAAATATGGAAGATAATTTCAGGGGTACGTTGTGGAGAAAATACTTTGGTAACAAATCCGGGGTGAGAAGGTCTGATTGTCAAAATGCGTTAATGAATTACAATAGCGAGGACCCTGAAGCAGAACGAAATGATGGAGTGAAGCTTGCGTTGCTCCATGTACTGTCACATGGTCTTTTTGGCAACCAGGTAGCAAGAGAATTACCAGCATTGTATGTGAATTTGGTTGATAACTTGGATGGGTTCAATGACTACCCGTGGGGAGACGATGTCTGGACTGAGTTGGTAGATATTATGCGGACCCATTCAAAGAGTTTAAAGAAATGCGCAGGGCAACGAGTGACACTGCCAGGATGTTTGATTGCCATCCAAGTTTGGGCATTTGAAACCTTCACAGGGCTTGAAAAGGCAGAGATATGCAAGTTGATTGAAGGGAGAGAGTCTCGAATACCAAGGGCAGTCAAGTGGGAATTCATTAAAAACCCATCAATGGAGTTGTTGAGCAAAATAATATTCAAGAATGAACAGGTAGTACATCTGACAGAATTGCTAATTAATAGGTTGCAATCTGAATAACAAACCATTTGCTTTTAAATTTTAATATTTTGTATTTTTCTTGTTTTGTGTGCAGTTTGAGTGGAAAATGATGGAGCCTACAAATCTGGAAGGTGAACATTTCCCTAACTTACTAGCCAATGAAAGGTTGAGTTCTGAGAGGAGTAGCAATGATGGAATTGATATTGTTAATAGAGTTGATAGGGTGAAGGTTTTTGAGAAAAAAGGAAAGAATGTAAAGACCAAACTTTCAGCAAAAGTTGTAAAAAAATCAAAAACCAAAGCAAAGGAAGAAGATATGGAATCTGAGAAGGAGGAGGATGATGGTGGGAGGGTGGGTTTTGGAACCGCAAGAAAGTTGGACTTGACGTTGAGGAAGGTTAGGAAACTTAGTAAGGAAAATGCCAAGATTATGGCAGAATTAAGAGAATTGAAGAAAATTCAAAAGAGGCAGGAGAAGATGGTAAAGCAGTTACTGGAAGCGATGAATAGAATGACCAAGAATGAGCAGACAGAGACTGAGGAGCTTAGGGTGCAAAGCAAGGAAAAACAAAATACAGAAGAAGGTGATGAAAATGTAGAAGGAGAAAAAAGGAATGATGAAGATCAAACTGCATGTGCAGAAGATGATGATCCAGTGATCAGTAGCGTGCCCAGTTTTTCCATATTCGGTCCAGAGACACAAGAAAAATTTCAGGAAGAGCAAGTAGAAAATGGAAGTGACCGAATTGTGTTTGAGATGAGGAAAGAACCTGAAAAGCAAGGAACAGTGGAACAAGGACATAAGGATAGTGGTGGACTAGTCAGAAGTGAAGAGAAAGATGGTAATGATTCTTCTCATAGAATAGAAGTTAGCAAAGCTGGGAACATGGAAGAAGAAGGGGGGACCAACAAAAAAAAAATGAAGAACAGAATAACGGTGTGCAAGAAACTGATACTAGAAGGGTGCATATTCAGGAAGAGGTTTGGGAAGATTTGAATACCCAATTCGTAAATGAGTTGATAACAAGCGTGGATATAGTTGAAAAACTTGTATTAGGTGACAAAGTTGCAGAGGAGCATACGCAAAAAGGAGAGGTAAGTAACACTTTTCTTTGAGTATTATTTTAGTCATACTTGAAAACATGAAAAAAACATTAAAATTTAATGATTAAATAATATGAATTGTGAATTACAGAAAACTGCAGACGAGCATTTACAACGAGTAGGAGAAGGGAACAGGAGTACAAGCATTGATTCCGAAGTGATCAAAGAAAAAAGTGTATGTGAAATGAAAATTAATTGTGATTCTAAATCCATAAAAGTGAAACTTACTTGTACAACGTGTTTGCTTTGGGTGTGCTGCAGGTGGAGATGACATGTGCACCAATTGGAAGACCTAAGCGAAATGCAAGATCACCTGACAGATTTACACCTGCAGGGAATATTGAGGTCGCAAAGAGGAGACGGAAGGAAAGAGCAAAAAGAAGTGAAGAGGACCAATTTTTACCGGCGAAAAAGTATGGGCCTTTTGCTGAAAACCCATCTCAATATCCACCGGAAGAAGAAGTAAGAAAGGTGGAAAAGTTTCTTGAAACTGGACTATTGAAGCGGCCGACAAAGGAGGGAGGTGGCAGAAAATACCGCAAAGAAGAGGACAACATGCATGGCGTACCTTTTATTTTGGACGTGGCAAAAATAGAATAAAAAACATGGTTATACAAGCTATTTGTCAATCCGGAATGGCTGGATGATACGGTAATGTTTTTGTACTATAATTATAGAAATATAACAGTTTGTTTGGATGTAATACTTGAATGTGAAATATAACAGTTAGTTTGGCTGGATTGATGAATTGTTTGTTTTTGGAAAATTTTCAGCATATTTTTGTAGGAATGCACTACTTGAATGTGAAGCAAGTGCAGTACAAGGTGAACTACCCCTACAGCACAAGTGGCCCATTTTTTATGCAAATGTTGAAACGGCTGAATGACAAGATAGAAAAAGGGCAGGCAACGATTCAAGACGCAGCAAACATTGCGGTCATCGAAGATGACATTATGGGTAGTGCTTCACCATTTTCTAGGGGCTGGGCAGATTGTGATTTCGTGTACCTACCTCTTAACAATAACAACCACTGGGTTTTACTGGTTTTGGACGTTAAAAAAAAGAAAATACGGGTTTACAATTCCAAAAGCAGAAGGGCGGATAGTGTAAGAGACATTAGACCATATGTTTCGAGCTTACAACGCTTGCTCCCAAAAATAATGGATGTGCATGGGGTTTATGAAGAAATTGGGTTGGAGCGTATGGAAAACAAAGTGTTGGAGTTGGAGGCTGTGGAGGACTGCCCACAACAAGAAGACGGGTAACATCTTACCTGTACATTATTTTACTGACAAATATTAAAATTTTGACATTAATATGTACAACTATAATAATTAAGTACTAATAGTCTTGCATTAATGCAGGGGCAACTGTGGCATGTACGTATTGATGATGGCCGAGTTTTTTATTATGGGACTAGATATAAAAGATATCAAGTCAAAGGACATGCCCATGTATAGGAAAAAAATGGCCACGGAGTTGGTGTTGTACTACAACAAGAGGATGCAGGAGGCCAAAAAAAAGGGAAGGACTTTGAAGATTGAATACTGAAGGATGGGAGAGGGATGGATGAGAAGCAAAGTAGTTGCTATTCAAAATTTGCATCAAATTTGACATTGTGAACATTTTTCTTGTCTATTTTAAGTAGTTTGACCTCAAATGCAGATAGAGTATTTTGGTTTACTGATGTAGTGTAGTTTGAATTCATAATGTTGTGGTGGATTGACTATTTGGTGGCTTGTGTTTTGGTCAGCAAACTATTTGTTATGCAGCGCTAAAAATGCCATATATTTGGCATTTTCTGGGATATATAATATTTTTGGACATGGAATAATATGGCAGTGTGTTAGACTGTTAGCTTGTACATTTGGGAATGATTTATTGTTATGTTGACATCAAATGCGAAGGAAACTGGTGGGTGATACATTTTAAACGAGCTTGTGACAGTGAGGTTGAAAAAGAATTAAGAACATAAACATGTATGTACGCATAAAGTGTGGGAATTATGCATCTAATGGCGTAGTGTTATCAATTGTAGACATTGAATGGTAGTTAATAAGATGACAAAATGAGGTAGTCCGCTAGTACACGTCTGAAAATTATGTGAAAGATTTTTGTTTCGGACTTGATAAGAATGACTTGAACATAAATGAGAAACTAACATTAATAGTTTTTAATTAATAAAATGCCATTTTTGTGTAATTAACGTGTGAATTTGTAGTACTTAGATATGGCAAAAGAACATGAAAACTGTTTAATAAGCCTGTGTTTTGAAGTAAATAAGAATGTAGCGGATTGAATGAAAAAGTAAAATTCTAGCATTTTAGAAATAAATGCCAAATGTTTGGCATTTGGGGTTGTTTTAAGGTAATTGTGTTTATGGCAAATACATTAAAATTGGAGCAAGTGCAATTATGATATGCAACAAAACAATTGCAAGACACATGGTATTACAGTGAAATTGAAAACAACACATAATAAAAAATAGTCAATTGAAATAGTGGCAAAAAATTGTGCATTAATGTAGTTAATGAACGTGGACATTTGTAAAGGATGAAAACATAATAATGAATTCTTAAATAAGTAAACTTAAAAAATACATCAATCATTTAATATGGGCAGTGGATTGCGGCAGGTTTTCTTGTTGTGTCCAAAAGCTTGACAACGGGAGCATTTCTGACGCTTGGTTCTGTGATGTTCACCGATTGATGGAATTCTTGACTTTTTTGGACGGCCAGGTGGTCTTTTTAGACATGAAGGCGGCTTGCAGCGAACATTCAAAACATCACGAGGAACCGACCAAGAATCTACATCACATATAGGGTGCATGACAGCACTCCAGGTGGACAACCAATAATCACGCGTATAATATGGGGATATATAATCATAGCATGACATGGCTGGGCGGGTAGCAATAGCAGAAACAGCATGGACACAAACGAAATGAGATAATTGAAACTCCCCGCAACTGCATGTCTTAGAATTAAGATCAATTACAAAGGACCGACAATGCCTATCCACCACTTCAAACTCTGTATAAGATGCTGGCTTGACTTGTAGTGTTTTATAATATTAAAAATTATTAAAAGTCAACAGATGGAAATTTACACCAATAAGGTGTTAGAAATAATCTGGAAAACATGGAAGAATAATGAAACTTGTATAGAGAATGCCATTTATTTTGGAAAATTTGCCAAATCCAAAAAACTGATGTGAAAGAAAATGCTTCTTTGAAGAACATAAACTAATTAACTACAAAATGCACGAATAGCAAGTTACCTGCATCCTGCAAGCTTGTCCTTGAAGGGTCACCAGATGCTTCTCACGTGTGGGTGCCAGAATTGTGCGTGTTTTTTCAGCGCTTTCCTTCCTTTCGTTGAACCATTGCTGCATTCTTTCCCTCAAGAAATCAATCAGTTTTGATATAGAATACTCCCTTGCAAAGACATTAACGTTGTTCATAGATTCAGCACAGTTGGAAGTCATGACATCATACCTCCTCGGACCTGACATGCACTTAGCCCACTTTTCTAAGCCAATCTTTTCAAGCCAAGGTCGTATACGAACATCTTCAGAATCCAACAAGGACATATATTCCTCAAACTCCTTAGGTGTGGAAGCCATATATGCAGCCTTGAACTTCCAACCTAAATTCTTACCAGCACCCCTGAACTTTGGAACCATGTTTCGCCTAAGGTGCTCAACACAATATCCATGAAGAGCATGAGGGAAAATATCTTTAACAGCACTACGAATACCTTCATGTCTATCTGATATGATAAACATATCAGATCGGAAGGTTATAGATTCACGAACTTGGCTCAAAAACCAATTCCATGAAGCTTTAGATTCGGAATCACAAATTCCAAACGCTAAAGGTACAATATGACCGTTAGCGTCTTGGGCGCAAGCTGTTAGTAGTGTCCCCTTATAGTACGCCTTCATAAATGACCCATCAACGATTAAAACTGGTTTGCAAAAATCCCATGATTTCCGCCAAGGTGAAAGAGACATAAAAAAGTAACGAAACTCATCCTCGTCACCAATTATTAGAGAAATTGCAGAATTTGGATTTGTCTTTTCTAGAATATAAGCCATGGAAGGTAGTTTCTGATACGACTCTAGATCAGATCCAAATTGCCTTTGCATGGCTACCTTTTGAGCTTTCCATGATTTCTTATATGACATGGAAATGCCATGAGCCACACTCATTTCTTCCCGAATTTGTTTTGGTGCATACGGTTTCCTTGAAGCATCCAAAAATTTATGGGAGATTAGCTCAGCAATGGTGCGATATGTTGCTTGTCTATGCTTTCCTTGCCTAAAGTCCATGGAGCATGTATGTGTAGAGTCAAACCTGCAAACCATATGTGCAGCATTGGCAGAAATGTCAAAAATGTGGCAGATTATAAGACGTTCAGAATGGTAAAATACAGATAAAATCGGAACATACCTTCTAATCTGAAACATTTGCACACCGCGTAACTTCACACCCCTGACAGCCCATTTGCATTTCTCATCACAACAAACAACATGCAAAACAGTTTTCTTGGATGTACGTGTTTGATATTGAAATCCATTATCAATCGCATACAACCTCAAATGGTGATTGAGGTCATATTTAGAGTTGTATATGGCATGTTTCGTGATTTGAGTGGGATGATAATGGGTGATAACTTCCACATTATGATGGAAGGAAGATGACTCAGTAGGAATTAAACGAGTAGGAGGTGACTGACAAGGACTCACATCAGACCATGGACTATGACATAGGTCATCATTGATTCTGTTGGGACTTTGTGACCGTGGTGAGACATTGGATTCATGACGAACAAGGGTGTAAGAGTTAGATTCAGAATTCAGCCCACTAATATTGTCATGTTCTGTAAAAGAAACTTGGGATGATGAGGGGGAAATCTCAGGTATGGTATTTTCCATTGTTGGCACTGTGCAAGGCTTAGAAATATCAGTTGAAAACTCCAAACATAAGGGGTACTTGCTCAAATCAGTATGAAGAACCTTAAGGTTAAGGAAAAACCGAAAAGTGTCTTCATCATTGATATGTACAGGTGGAGGGCAACCATCAACCATATAAGATAACTTGAAGTGATTTGTTGCATTGTAGTAATCACTTAACATGGAAGAAAGTTGTTCTATAAAGTCTTTGTATGTAGATGAATAAAGAACTTGAATAGCGAAGATCAGGTTACTGTTGAAGCTATAGTCATTGGTCCAACTTCCACCCAACTTCAACATAACCGGTACAATACAATCCATATGGGTAACTGGAGAAAGGAATATAAATTGGTCAAATAAAATGAACAAGACTATGACAACTCTGAATAAATATTATGCCAAGATTTTGTCATTTATTCCATCCGAATACACCAAACAGAGCATCATATTCACAATTAAGTTCTATGATGTTAATGAGTAAAACCATGAACAATAAGATCATAGCTGCATACCTAGGACCATACTATACAGATTTCAACACAAACATGGTACATGATTGTCGGTTTCGAATTATATAACAATGATGATTAACAATAAATACATTAAAAACAAGAATAATGTCGTGAACTAGTTCTAAAACATGAAAAAACTGATAATCGCAGGAGTTGCTTATTACCAGAACAATTGCAGAATGTGTTTGACCTCACGAAATGTTCTTCATCGTCAATTATGACAAACAGGGAAAAAGATGAAATATGGAATGATCGTTGAAACGCACGTACGTATCAAGATAATAATCAGCAGCGTAAAAACAGGGGAGGGGAAAGTGATTGAACGTATGTTAGCGGTAAAGGGGGAAACGGTTATGCGCTAAAGGGCTAAACTGATGACCGTACATATGTTAGCGTTAAAGGGGGAAACGGTTGTGCGTACATAAGAGGGGCAAATCTGTACCAGTGTGAACCGTATGATTCAATATAGGATTAATATGATCCTATTAAGGGAAAGAGACCTAGGAGATCCTATTTAGGAATTTTAAGAAGTATTTAGTCCTATATGAGGCAATTTCTTTAAAAAGAACTTCAATTATATTCTTAATATTCTTAATGACGACATAACATATTAATAATGTGTGTAAAGACGTAACTGTGTAACACGTTAAACACACTACATATACTAAAATCATTTTTTTGCATTCATAAATTTTAACCAATTGAATCTTTCATCATCATTATTTAATTTTAACACATATTTAATGTGTATAAAGACATAACACAATAAATTAAACATACACAAAACATTCATTTTTCATACAAAAACTTGAATCAATTGAGCTTTTCATTGTCATTTGTACAGTTGATAAATAATTATATTTTACTTGGACACAAATGGTGCGAAACCATAAATCACCAACCTGCTATTATCGATCATTATGGTCATAATTTCTATAACATTACTAAGAACATCACCAATGGACCACTGTTGACATTAAAAAAATATTGCCCCATCATCACCGTCTAACACTTCGTGTGTGTGTGTGTGTGTGTATATATATATATATATATATTCATCTCAAGTGTGGTATGTCATAGCTAATGTAATGTTGGCCTGTTATCAACACCGTGAACATCACCGTAATATTATCACAGTGCCTTTGACTTGCTGACTCGGCAAACAGTGAGGGGAAATACTGTTGAAAAAATTCAGTAACGTCATGCATGTACTCCGTAGTCCGT